CTTGTTTTTGTATTGCTGCCATCAAATCTGCTAGGCTGTAGTCTGATTTTCCGCTTCTCGTTTCCATTTTTTTTTTCTGTCCCACTCTCTGACACCAATTTGTTACGTCTCCGTTTGTTAATTGACTTTTCCGTAACTTCGTTCCAACGAAACTTTAACGACACAAGTCATTACTTAATAAAACTGGTTTATTCTTTCCGAATATAACTCTGCGATACACTTAATCTCAATACTCGCGCTAAAACAACACTGTAACGAACGAACGTTAACTTCAACAATGCCCTGTGACTGCAGTTCAATTACTCACTATCTACTCACACATTACATTCCCCTCCTTTATATACCAGCCTACCCTATATCTAGTAATTACTAGAGCATTCGCCAAAGTACATGATAGTTCTAGAAACGTTGCGTCACAGTAGTCATGTGACTCGCTGACGCAACAATGTCTTTTAGTGCCTATGTAATTTTTTTATGAGATATATATACAATTATGTAATTTAAGCCTTCATTACAAATTTGGAAGGTGAAATTGTTAACATCCGTCTGTTTCCTTAGTTTATGTTTCTTAGTTTCCACGATTTTCTTCGCCCCCCCCCCAAAAAAAAAACTTTAGAAAAGAAACAATTTGACTTGCGTTTTATAGCATTGTCAGTGTTGCTTGAGAAAAAAATCTAAGGGTTTGTTTATTAAAGGATATTACTAAATGTTATGATATGAAACCTGAACCCTGATCAATCAGAACTTTTGCTGACATTCAGTTTCTTAGAAATCTAAATTCACATATTCAAAAAAAATCAAACATTTTCCTAAAACGTAACAGCTACTAGATAAGTCACAACTTTTTTCTGAAGTGATAAATTGTCTTTTCTTCAGATAGCAGTTTCGCTGAAAAAAATAACTAGAATTTGGTTGAAAAATTGAATTTTGTTAGATAAATAAATATATATATATATGATTTTGGTGACACAAAGTGGAATGCATATACTTGATTATTTCATCGTGTTTATACGATTATTTTGTATCAAATATTCGTTATTTTCAAAAGATTAAATTTAAAAAAATTAAGAGTTTGTATTCATTTTGCGACTACAGAGGTAAAATATTGGCGATGATAGAAAAGAATTATTGTTCCCGTCTAAACAGCCTACGTATACACAAAATATAGCGCCCTCTATAAAATGGGTGTGTTTTCCAATCGATACTACACACTTACACTTGCACTGCAGAATAGAGATAGCGAATGAGTTTGTTGCTATCTGTAAACGAATGCACGTGATTGAAGTTAATATGAGACCATAATTAATTTTTAGTAAATTGCAGAACAGTCTTCAGTTTTGAAGAATTGTTGAATGAATTCTTAAATACGGTGTGTATCAACTTTTACCCTAAATTTGGTTCCGCTTCCAGTGCGCACACTGGATACTTTTTCATGACTGGAGGTCGATTAGTAAGCCTAATTTCATTATTATGTTTTGTCTATAGGCGTTCTTTAATACTGTGGCCCTAGACCAATATTATATTTTCATGTGTATAAATTATTAGGTTTTAGTCTTTATTCATATCTTTATTAACGTTACACTCTCAAAATACATTTTGCTTAATATTTTTTGTTTTGTTTTTCAACTTCATGTTTAACTGTTGATCAAGGTTTTTATAATCGCTGTTGTAGCATTTCCCCGAGCTTTACTTTTGCAATACCTCTCCCTCTTTTTCGTCAATATAACTTATTTTTGCGTTTTCCAGATTTTTTGTTTTTATCAGTGACACTATGTAACAGAACTAACTTATTACACTGAAAACTGTCTTGCGTTGCGGTTTTGAACCCTTAATCATATTTTCTAATTCAAGCCAGTTACGGCCACATTGTGTCTTAGTGTAATTAGCACTCCGAGTGACGTATGTACATTATCATTATAAGAAACACAAGCAGTGCTGTTATTTAGTAGATATAGAATATTATAGCGAACATTAAAATGATTTCAGCACCTCAGGTTGCCCCTGTCAAAATGTGTTTGTTACCGTGTTCTGCTAGTTAAACAGGAAGCTTAGTGAAAACGTTCTAGTTATTATCCTGTCTGTCGTATTTCGATTGATTGTAAAACAAATCTAAATTATTCATGTTTGACAGTTACTCTCCGTAACTAAAGGCCTAAACTTAACGATCAACGAACCGCGTGATTACATGAAATTGTTAGTTAACTTGCCCAATTCATTTAGATATTTAAAATATACTTTGCCCTTGTGAACTACCTCTTCAATCGTTTTAGAAAAGTTCCCTGGTGGGTCAGCGGTAAATTTATAGACTTACAACGCTAAACTCCGGGGTTCGATTCCTTGCGTTGGAGAGAGTGTAGATAACTACTTGTGTAACTTCGAGCTAAAACAAGTAACCATCCTTGTAGAAACACATTTTATTCTAGGTTTTCCCTCAGTTCAGCATTTAATTCTTTATTTATTATTCGCATCATAATGAAAGAAATTGTACAATGAAATATAAATGCTGATAATATTATTGTTTATGATTATGTCCCAATTTCTTATTCTATATTTAAAAGTTTTAGAATTACAATGTGAGAATATAACCTGTTTATATAACAGATTTGTTCTTCAGGTACTTGAGATATCAATATAATTTTAATATTTAGATTTGTTAAACTTACCCTTATTCAACCACAAGAACACAAAACTTTAACATAGAAAATAAAAATGATAAAGAGTTGAATAGAATAAGTTGTTTCTAAATATATAAGAAATAAATGAAGGAAAGGAAAGATAGCAATAATTATTTTCAATCATTTCATATTTGTTAAAGTACTTTTTTTACGAAGAAAGTTATCCAGGTCTTTACAAAATATTTCACTTTTATTTATAAATGAAACTGTTTATATTTAAATTAGTTTTATTTTTCAATTTGGAACAATAAAAACACCTAATATATTTCATTAATTTTCATGTTTTAATAGATTCACTAATTTCGCTAATTATGAAATCGTTTGCTTTTTTATTGAAATTCCACTTCTTAACCTCTGGTTATTATAAAATTGGTTGGTCTACTCTAATGTCCTCAATTATATATATACCTGGTTATTATAAAGTTGATTGGTCTACTCTAATGCCCCCAATTATATACACATGGTTATTATAAAGTTGATTGGTCTACTCTAACGTTCCCAAATATATACACCTGGTTATTATAAAGTTGAATGGTCTACTCTAATACCCCCAATTAAATGCACTTGGTTATTATAAAGTTGATTGGCCTACTCTGACATCCCCAAATATATACACCTGGTTATTATAAAGTTGATTGATCTACTCTAATGTCCCCAATTATATACACCTGGTTATTATAAAGTTGATTGGTCTACTCTAGCGTCCCCAAATATATACACCTGGTTATTATAAAATTGGTTGGTCTACTCTAATGTCCCCAATTAAATACACCTGGTTATTATAAAGTTGATTGGTCTACTCTAATGCCCCCAATTAAATACACCTGATTATTATAAAATTGGCTGGTCTACTCTAATTTTCATAACTGGGACACTAGTCATCTAAGAGCTATAGTGTTTGCTTTATGAGGTATCGAGATGCTGTGAAAGTTGATTTTTAAAATGTTTATTTAAACTTCTTTGAAATATTATTCCTTGAGTTTTGATTGGGTTTAGCATGACCCGTTAATCGTTACACCAACCATTGATTGTGTTGAGTGATTTTTGAACACGACCCGCAGCTATTAACGGGTTTCTTGAAACACTCTAAACAGCAATGTCATCAGCATATTGGGAGAAATATCTATAATTAAGAAACAGGAAAGGTATGTTGTTTACAAAAATGATGTAAAAGAGTGGCGAGAGAACTTATCTGTGCGGGATTCCTGCTGTGATGTTTATTGTTTTTGACAATATATTGTTTATTCTGACGATCGCAGTGCAGTTATTTAAGAAGTTTGAAATTCGTCTAATTATAATACTATTAATGTTCATTGAGTGTATTCTGTACCTAATGACATTATGCTACACACCGTCAAAAGCTTTACGCACATAAAAAATAAAATAAAAAACTCCTACAGTGGCTTCGTTGTTTTTAAATGATTTAAATACCAATTTCGTGAGTCGTGTTAAATGGTGTATGGTTTGTCTATCTTTTCGAGAAGAATTTTGTGTATTTGACAGCAGGTTATTTTCTTCGCAAAAGAACAAGAGTGTTTTTGCTATAATTCTTTCAACTAGTTTACCTAGACAACTAAGTAAGCTAATTCATCTAAAGTTATCTAGGTTAGAGTTATTAAATGTCAAATTTTGGGGAATAACTGTTATAACTGCTTTTTCCAGATGTTTGGAAAGTATCCTGCTACTAGAGAAAGGTTATGAGATTGATTAAATGATTAAGTAGTGTGTCTGGTGCTTTTTTTAAGAATAATATTTCTGATACCATCGTGTCCGGGAGGCTGAGTTTTTTTAAAGTTTTTATACAGGTCTTTAATTCACCTTTAGTGACTTTGCGATTTAAAATGTAATCCCTGCCGCTGAGTGTTTTGGTGTCTAGATTATTAACTGGAAAACTTGGTTTATATAAGTCTGAGTTTTCCTTTACATGATTGTCCACTGTTTTGCGGTTATTTTGGTTAAAGTTTGGGGAATTTAGTTCTTGAAAGCATTCTTGTAAGTCATTTGCTAACAGATTCACTTTCTCCGAATCAGTTTTGGCTGTAATATTGTGGTGTTTGATGTGGTGGAACACGTTATTATTATTTTTCTCAGCGGTTAGTGATTTGAAGTTTTCTAGAAAATGTTGGACTGTCTTGTGCAGCATCAAGGCTATTACAGAATTCTACCCTGTTAGTTTCATTGAGTATTTTATGTTACGCTGTATTTATGCATGAAATTTATTAATTTTAGGTTTAAGGGAAGTATCCCGCGTAGTTATTAGTAATCGCCTAAAGCGTCTGCGTTCTAAGATACCGTATTTTTCGGTGTATAAGACGCACTTTTTTTACCCCAAAATTTGATGTCAAAATCTGCTTGCGTCTTATACACCGAAGGTATGAATAATATATATGTATATATACGATATACACAAGCCATCTGTAAACATCTTTAAATAGGCATGCATAGTTTAGTTCAATTGAATGTGTTATTTATAACAATAGTAGTTTTTTTCTTTTAAAAACATAACTATTTATAACGCTCCCTAAATAATAATAAAAAACATTACAGTGAAAGCAATGAAGATTTTGTAGGTTTGAACCAAACTAAATAACAGTAAACCTTTTTTGATTTACGGTATTTTCTTATTTTGAATGTTTTGAGCTCTTTTGTGTTTATAACAATATATACTAGTTTTTAAAGTATCAAATTGAATTTTTGTTCAATAAAAATCTTTCAAATGCGACTGTAGCTTTTTTTCCCCAAAACTTTGTCTTCAAAATAAGGGTGCGTCTTGTGTTCCGAAAAATTCGGTAAGTGGATGCATTTTCGGTATGAATTTCCATTGGTTGCTATGGTGGCCTCTAGAGGCATTGGGGATAACTTTTTGTAGCTTTAGCTATTCCTAGTGTGAGTTGTTCGGAATAAATGTGTAGTTGAGTTTTACTTTCTATCCTTGTGAGTAAAGGTGGAAAAAAAGTGCCAACAAATGTGTTAAACTCCATCCAGTTAGCGTCTGTGTAGTTATAAACTGGCGGGAGATCTGATGTTGGATGTGTTAAGTTTAATTGAAGTGTACATGAAATAAGGAAGTGATCGTTAGATATTTCAGGGCAAACTTTGAATTTTGTAGATTTTGGAAGTAATGAGTCAAGTACGATAATGTAATCTAAAAACCTCATACATATATATTTGCCGAGTTGTATCTTGTTGGTGTGTTTATTCTTATTACATGCATGTTATTGCTTTCTAATAGAAAGTGAAGTGCATTTCCTCTGCTGTTTGTTCGATTACTGAAGTAATCTGTGTGTGGGCGTTTAAATCTATATGTAAAACTGAAATCTCTCTGTTTGTTTGCTTGCTTATTTGTCCGCCGTGTTCGCTGCCCAGGTCACACTTCCCTCACGTGAAGGTGCACAAAATAAAATTTTTTCGTTGATGTATGCGTCTATCGTCTGCTAGCCGAACCGGTAATCTTATCGTTAACATATACATTACACGAATATATACTACGCAGACTTGACATTTTTGGGTAAGTTTGAGTTAACATTTAATTTAGAATATAACATTATATGCCTATTTAGTTAAAACTCATTAACTCTACATCTACTAATACATCATATATTTAACCTCACACACAAAAGGAATGTATGACGAATTAGAATGTCGTGAGTAAAAAAAGCAAACAGTAGGCCTAGTCTATAAAATAAAATTATGCTGTATACCATAAAATAGACTACGTAAAAATAGTAAGGCTTACATTATAAGACTCATCATGTACAACGAGATTAAAGTCAAGTCAGCAAATGTATTCTATTTGTTTCCCCTGCGTGGTTTGATACCTGGAAGTGGATTTTTTTTTCATGCATTATAAAGTACAATATTGCATTTTGTTTGTACTATATTTCATACATCAATGTCATAATGTTGAATATGGTATCACATTCATAAAAACATATTAAATTTACATTGAAGCACATTGAACATAATATTACATACATATTTACGTTTGAAATCTTAACATTTAGGAGGAATGGGGGAATATAGCTAAGCTTATTCTGTCCGACAGAATGGGTACTCATAAACTTTTTTCATAAACTCACAAAATATTTTTCACCTATCGAAATATGGAACAGGGAAACAGAGAGAGTAGCTTTTTTTGCGTTTTGTTTCTAAACTCGGGGAACGCCGGGTAACGTTGCTAGTGTCCTATAATTATGGGTTTTGTGTTTCTGCAAGTTGTGAGGTAATTTACGTGTAAAATCTTGGAGGGGAGATATATATGGCAACTATTGGTATGACATTATGCTGATCTAAATATATGTTTAAAATATGCTTTTATGAGTAGTTGAGGTTAGATTCTTTACTATTGATATACTATTAGCTATATCATTTTTAAGCTATACCTCTGTTGTTTTTGTTTGTTTCAGCTGGGAGTGAATAAGATTTAAAACCTGGAATAGATGCGATAGTTTCTTTTCTGGCTAGTGTTTCAGAAATTATTATTATATCTGCATTGACATTGCTGTTCAAATCATGAAACTACAATTTCTTGGAGTTAAATGCGCCTTGAAATGATGTGTAATAATTTTATGTTGTGTTTGAAGTGGCTGCCTCAAGCTTACGTTATGTGGTGTGGCTTAAGGTTGTGGAGATCAAAATAGTATCTGACCGTGTTAAATATGTGTTCAATAAGTGCTGTGTTAGATGCTTCTGGTAACTGCCATTGAGGGGAAAATTCACATAGCTCCGTGAGGAAGACTAGAAGGTTGACAATGAATTCTCCGATCTCCAAAGGTTCTTTACGTGTTGATCTGGTGTTCTGTGTTCTTGTGTTACGTGCGACGGCATTTGCATATATCGTGGCATGTTGTTTTTGGTTGGCAGATGTGTTGTTTGCAGTGAAGTTGAATGTATGTGGGTCTGTTAAATTGAATTGTTGTGTGTTTTGTTCAGAAGACACTGGCTTAGGGGATTGTGTAAAATTTACTGGTTGTGGTCTTCTGTCTGAGAAATATGAAACTTGTGCTGTGTTATGTGCTTGTTGAGTAGCGATAGAGATGTTTAATACTTTGATTCTTACGTGTTGGTATTTGGGGCAGGCTTGATAACTGGCTGCATGGTGGCTTTGGCAATTAGCGCACTTAACCTCATCGCGCAGATTAGGGCAGCTCTCCACATCGTGCAGCCTTGCGCATTATGCACATCTGGAGTTTGCCTTACAGTAAGGATTGGAGTACCCAAATTTAGGACATTTGAAGCACTGGATTGTGTGTTTATATGGTGGCTTAGCAACTTCTGTTTTGTGTAATTTGTAAAAAAAAATGACGCATCCTTTGGCAAGAAGAGATTCGTAATCTTCTTTATTTTTGAATGAAATTTTGGTAGGTGGTGTTTTATGTTATTGTCTTCGGCTTAAACCCTGTTGCTACCAGTTCTTTGTGTATTTCTGATTCTTCTAAGTCTACTACACTCTTGACTCCTATCGTGTACAACTAGTAGGTGCCTGTTGGTGCTTGTATGCTCGTAATGCCACCAAAAATATCTTTAGGCCAGTGGGCTAAGAGATGGGCATAATCCTTAGGTTGGTCACATTTAACAACGAGACCACCTTTGAGAAGACGCCGTATCTCTTTAAATTTAAATGTCTTGAACCATTTTTTAATTCAGCTGCAGTTTGTAATTGGCGAAGCGTATGTGGAACCCCTTCAACTATTAGCCCTGGAATGTTCCTTTGTTTGGGCGTGTCTACATTAGATGATGGTGAAGGTGTGGTGTTTGGTGAAGTGTTTGGTTCGTGCTATTTGTGTTTGTGAGGTAATACTATTATCGAAACTTATACTTACCCTTGTTGTCTTCTTTCTTCTGTTCTTTCTTTTCACAGTGGTGAAGCCTTCATTATCTGATTTTGCGTTGGTTTTCGTGGGTGGTGGAACTATAGAATAGCATGAGTCAGTGTCCGTAGGTATGGTTCCCTGCAACGAGTTATCACTGACGGCGTCAGAAATAATGGCTTGAAGACTATTTTGAATTTCTTGATGGCCTGGCAGATCTTATCATAAGTCTGATAGAATTAGTTGCATTCGTGACATCTGGATTCGTTGTTCGTTTGATACTGGTCACAAAAAGGACCGGGGTGATGATCCACTAAAATAAAGGAGAAAACAACAACTAGTTACTAACTGAGAGCTTCTATAATACACGTCTAATCACTTCTAAAACTGTCTGGCTACTGAAGTTTCGAATCTGTGACTAGATCCACCAACACGCATTCAATATCTCAGACGTTTTGATTGACTTTTGATTTTGGGCTACCTAAAATATTTGTGCCCCCTAGTGGTACAGAAGTAAATCTTTGGACTTATAATGTCAAATCTGGATTTGATACCTTTGGTTGGCGCAGCTCACACAGTCTGTAGTGTAGCTTTTTGCTTAGCTAGAAACAAACAAAAATCAAGTCTTTGGTTTTCGCGACACGCTTGCAATCTTGTACTTCTTGACTGATCCCATATGAAACGACGTGCAAATGTTGGAAATTAAAGGTAATACTTGACATGAATGATGGCCATATGACTCATTGTTATAATGTTGACTGCGTGAATTTCGTGATCAGCGCCATCTGGCGATGACTCTTTTGACATTGGAGCTGTATTTTTCATCGGTTCATAATTTTTTTCTACTAAATTTTATAATTCTCTGTTGATTAATTTTCGAATTGTGTACGTTAAGAGTTGACTAACTAACTTTATAAATCAGTTACTGATGATCAGGTACCTGATGATGACAAAACCTTGTCGAAACGTTGTACATTTGCTGTTATGTTAAACTTATATTAAAGTTTTTCTTCATTACCCATTCAAGCCGTCTCCAGCCATTATGATACTTCGCTACGTTGGTACAGATCGTGTTTTGTTTTTGTTTTCTCTAGTACCAAAACTTTCAGCGTAATTCCTCTACATTACAAATCACCACTTTTTTTTTGGCAGAAAAAAGTTTACTGGTATATGCATGTTACTTGAAAACTGAAAAAATTCCAAAGTCTGAAGGAATAAGTGATACTTCTACAGTGTGAGTTACGCTATTTGAATCATAAGTTACTTAAAGCATTGAATTAATTTATTAATACGTTCCTCAGGAGCCAAGGGGTGTCTTTACTTTTCAACTGGTTGAGTATTAATAGTAAGTTCAATCCGGAAACTCCCAGAGATGGTGGTTTTGGACGTATCTTTTCAACAAAACATCGAGATAAGTTTACGTTTGTTAATTAATAAATTTTTAAGTGAAATACGGCATCCACAAGTCTCCATACTAGTTAGTAGTAAGGTCTACCCGCTAGGAGCAAATTCAATATATATATAAATAAAGCTATATTCTCAGCATAATTAATTAAAAAATTAGTACATTTGCAAAAAAGAAAAAAGAAAAAGAGGTAAGAGTTATGAAAAATAAAGCTTACCTAACAATAATGCTTTTTTACCGCAATTTAAATGAATTTCAAAAGAATGATTTATTTATTTTTTAATTTGTAAAAAACAAAGTTTTTTTTTGTTCAGGGGCTGGGCGTAGCCAAATGGCTACCACGTAATGACTACGTTCATGGTTCGCGCTCCATTTCAGCAAAAATACTCTCTATACTTTGGGGCCATGAGTGCACTGTAAGAGTAACAGTCACATCTCACTATTCGACCAGATAAGAGTAGCCTAAGAATTAATGGTGGGTACTGTTGACTGTCTCTCTTTTTAATTTATCAGCTTAAATTGCGATGTGTAACTCTGAGTGAAAATTCTAAACAAGCAAGTTAGGGATGAACTTTCAAATGTACATATTTATCTTCAGCTACCAGCAACTTTTTAATTACACAATGGTTACGAGTTTCAAGGAAATAAGACATTGCTTCCCAGTTTACAGTTTTTGTACGAGGTTTGATCAAAGTCAGTGTATTACATTTGAAACATATAACGCTGTACCTGCCATGGGTATTGAAACCTAGTTTTAACCTTATATGTCCGTCTGCAGACTAACCGCTGTGCCACTGGGAAGCTAGTGTACAGGTATCATAAAACTTGTAGATAATTATAAATGTTCATGCACAAAGGGACTTATTAGTGAAGTGTTTCTTACATAAATGTTATTTCTAAGTTCCTGCAGCATCTTTCAGCATTCTACCCACCACCGTTACCATTATCTCTACACACAACGCTCAGTATGCGATATGTAGACGTTCAAGCGACGGAGCATCATCGTCTACAATCGATCAGTGACGGGAATCATCAGTCCGTGAATCTACTATAGAGCCCACTCTACTGGAATGACACGAGTTCTGACTGATGGATCAGGTAAGTAGAAACTACAATGCTTTTACAGGTACATACAGGGACTGACAAAAGTAGTCCTCCCATTTTCTTCAACTATGAGAGTGTTCTAAAGGTGTGAAAATCAAACGTCTTTTACTACAGACAGCTTATTTCGGTCTTATACACTAAAACAATGAACAAGTAAGACACCCCATATGGCAGCATTTCCCAAACTTTTATCATCCACTTTTATTAATAAATATGGTTTTTTGCGCGTCCCACCGACTTTTTTTAAATGAGTGAAAGAGTAAGTTAATTGATGAGATATAACACATGGATACACATTAAAATGTTATGTGTTCTAATAATTACTTATTATTTTTATTGATAAGATTTTTTAAATGAGTGAAAGAGTAAGTTAAGTGATGAGATATAACACATGGATACACATTAAAATGTTATGTGTTCTAATAATTACTTATTATTTTTATTGATAAGATTTTTTAAATGAGTGAAAGAGTAAGTTAAGTGATGAGATATAACACATGGATACACATTAAAATGTTATGTGTTCTAATAATTACTTATTATTTTTATTGATAAGATTTTTTAAATGAGTGAAAGAGTAAGTTAAGTGATGAGATATAACACATGGATACACATTAAAATGTTATGTGTTGTAATAATTACTTATTATTTTTATTGATAAGAATACATTAATACGAAAAATTTTGTATTATTTCACTGTTGACTCTACCCTAATCGCTCGCGCTCTCCAAGAGATCATTAGTGACCCCTTGGGGGGCGCGCCCCACACTTTGGGTAACGCTGCCATATTGAGCTGTAGTATAAGCTAAAACGTGTACTTCGAATTATCTATAGCTGTATAGAAATTTCTAATGTAAAAACTGTTGTCTAGTTGGATGTGATATAAGATGAAATATACGATCTATGTAAATCTATGAACTTGGGATTCACTTTACAGAAATCAAGCACGACGCTGATGCTATGAAGTCCGGTTTTCCAGTTTTATACTTTTATCAAACGTTTTTGAGATCGATGTGTTTCTAGTTAAGTTCTTATCTTTGGCTGTATCCCCCCCCCCGTGGTTTTAGAATTACTTAGCAGTTGAACTTTAAATTATGTGATGTGTATAATGGGACGTAAAACAAGCATTTTAAAGTTTTTAACACTAGTTGAACAACCTGTGTTGTGTCATGCTGAAAGGTATAGCTATATTTACGCATTGTATTTAAAATGGCAAGGAAAGCATTTGAAACGTATTCAAAGGAGGTGTTCGTGATCTATGGTAACGATACCTGAATGTCTGCTTAGGCCTTAAAGCTCCTTATTCCGACATCTATGGTGTTTCATGTGATGATCTTCAATATGGACGTTTGTCTTGTGAGGCAATTTCATAATGCATTAGGCGTTTGCGCAGTGCGTTGAAGCCAACAGTGATACCACTCCTCTTTATGCTTTCCAAAAGCTATCAACCTTGCGTAAACGATGACTATTAAAGGCTCATTTATGCAACAGAAGTCTGTGGGAGATGCATTTGGTGATTTAACTGGTAGGTATGCGAATGATATAGTATTCATTTTGTTTTTTCTATAATATTGAGGGGGAACTGGTATAGAGTATTACTGGAAGGTTAGTAAAGATATACCACCTGAACTTTGTTGCCGTCACCCAAATAGACACACACTTCGTCCAATACGATGAAATACTTCAATTTCTCAGTCTTCCATTATCGGTCTTCCGTTCAGCTCTGGAGAGAAGCTTATGAATGCGGCTCTTATGTCAGTTTTATAGTTGTAGATCGTGTAAATGATCTATCTTATTTATAATTCAGGACAGGTTCTTACTTTAACTTTAATATTTTTATAAGTTATTTCTGTTAAGAAGATGTTTAACTTTCTTCGCTGTCACTGGTGTGCGACTGGTAGCCGATAGTGTAACAGCCTATTTTTTTCACTGGGGAAGTTTCGTATTCCCTCGTTTTCAACGCCATAGATATCCATTAATTCGCAACGCTAACATTTTGTGCTTTTATCATTGCGAAATATGAGAACTTTCAGTCGGAAAGCCCTTCAATCTACTCTCACCAGAGGAAGTCATTTATAGACACTATCTGCCTCGCTACTCACGCACTTCAACAGCCATGGGAAAGGTGTGGATGACGACTGTTACCTGAGGTGTCAACAGTCCTCCGTACAAAACAATTTGAACCTAACAGAGTTATCAGCCCCCTCCAGATCTTACTATCAACTGAGAGAAATGTTTATCAACCGGCGTTAGTCTGAATGAAATAATCGCAACTAAAATTTCTTAAACTTTAATTAAGGGTTTTGACTGTGAACAATAATAAACTTCAGTAAACTGTGACTATAGTTTTATGCAAATACAGCTAAAGCATTTGTAATGAAGACAAACGATGAGAATCCGCAAGTGAACACCTCTCATTCTACAGCAAGATATATATACAGGGTGGGCCAAAAGTAGGGTTACAGTTACTCTATTATTTGTTTCTCCTTCACAATCACGTTTTAAATATACATGTAAATCAAAGAACCAAAGCTAACTTTGACGAACTGTACTTCCAGCAAGATGGAGCAT